CACAAAGCAGCCAATGAACCCAGCCAGTGTCTTCCGAGTGGCAGTTTTTTCGGCCTAACACTAAAGGGGCCAATTTTAGAATTCTGGCACCCAAAACTCTTTTATAATAAGGGAGAGATAAGAGAAGCCAGTGTTGGATCAGGCCAATGGTCCATCCAGTCCAACACTCTGTGTCACACAGTAGCCAAAAACACCAGGTGCCATCAGGAGGTCCAGCAGTGGGGCCAGGACACTAGAAGCCCTCCCACTGTTCCCCCCCCCCCAAAGCACCAAGAATACAGAGCATTCCTTGCACCAGACTGAGAGTTCCTGCCTATACCTTGTGGCTAATAGCCACTGATGGACCTCTGCTCCATATAAGAACATAAGAGAAGCCAATGTTGGATCAGGCCAATGGCCCATCCAGTCCAACACTCTGTGTCACACAGTGGCCAAAAACACCAGGTGCCATCAGGAGGTCCAGCAGTGGGGCCAGGACACTAGAAGCCCTCCCACTGTTCCCCCCCCCCCAAAGCACCAAGAATACAGAGCATTCCTTGCACCAGACTGAGAGTTCCTGCCTATACCTTGTGGCTAATAGCCACTGATGGACCTCTGCTCCATATAAGAACATAAGAGAAGCCAATGTTGGATCAGGCCAATGGCCCATCCAGCAACACTCTGGATCACACAGTGGCCAAAAATACCAGGTGCCATCAGGGGGTCCAGCAGTGTGGCCAGGACACTAGAAGCCCTCACACTGTTCCCCCCCCCCCAAGCACCAAGAATACAGAGCATCCCTTGCCCCAGACCGAGAGTTCCTATCTAGGCCTTGTGGCTAAGAGCCACTGATGGACCTCTGCTCCAGATGTTTATCCAATTCCATCTTGAAGCCGTCCACGCTTGTAGCTGCCACCACCTCCTGTGGCAGTGAATTCCACATGTTAATCACTCTTTGGGTGAAGAAGGACTTTCTTTTATCCTTTCTAACCCAACTGTTCAGCAATTTCATTGGGTGCCCATGAGTTATTGCATTGTGAGAAAGGGAGAAAAGTCCTTCTTTTTCGACCTGCTCTATCCCATGCATAATCTTATAAACCTCGATCATGTCACCCCTCAGCCATCACTTCTGCAAGCTAAAGAGCCCCGAGCGCTTTAACCTTTCTTCATTGGGAAAGTGTTCCAACTATTTTATTCATAATTGCTTTTAAAATAAAAATTATATATAATCCCCCTTTTAAAACCCTTTGTTATTTATGTGGTTCTCCTTGTAGAAGTCTACTTACCTTACATTCCCCCTGGAAGCATAAGCCACTAGATGCGTTTTGCACACACGGCAAAGCAAGCGGGCAAAGCAAAAAGCCGTTAACTTTCCCAGCCGTGTAAATTGCAGCTGGAACTTCTACAAGGCTAGGGCCCTGGTTTTCTGGCTCTTCCTGTGCTTCTTACAGAGCCCCTAGTCTAAGAACCACAGGCCAAGAGCCCTTTGGCTCGCTTCAGAGGCTCTATTGGCATTAGACCCCTCTGAAGTCCCTCCCATTCCTAAACTCCTCTCTCCTCAGACTCCAACCCCCAAATCTCTGGGTATTTCCCACCATGGAGCTGGGAACCCTATTCCCAGGGGTCCTTTCCTGCAGGAGCGCACAGGAGCGGAGCTCCAGCAGTAAAGAGCCCAAGGGGGCGGGCACATCCAACAAGCCCCACCCCCTGCTCTCAGCAACCCTCAGTCAGAGCAAGAAGCAGCCAGGTAGATTGCAGAGCCCCCCCGGCCCCCCAGTCCAAAACAGTCCAGTGGCACCTTTAAGACCAAGTTTTATTCAAGTACAAGCTCTTCCCTCCTCTGCGAGGACAGATCTTGCACATTCCCCCCTGCCCAACAGCTAGCAATCCAAAACAGTCCAGTGGAGCCTGAGTGGTGGGTGTTGCCTTTTGACACACTTCCGGTGATGTCAGGGGGTGTGGCATATGCAAATGAGTTATGCTAATGAGTTATGCTAATGAGCTCCTGCACCTC